CCAATGACTAAACCAAAACCAATTAGGCAATTTCACAGTAGAACTAGAGCGTGAAATTAATATAGTGCAACGATACTCCATCTATTAAATAATAGTAAAAACTTAAAAAGGAAAATACAATTATTTGGAAGGCTTTTCAAAATATTTCTCTAAGGAGAATACTAGGTGCACATAGTAAAAACCCGACTAATCGCTCTAAGAGTTTGAGCTAGGTATAAATACCAAATCTTGACAAAATTAAAAGGGAAGAGAGAGGAGAGGGAGAGGAAGGAGGGGGAGAACTGTTGAAGGGCTGGTGTTGATGACAATCAACCACCTGATACTCACTTCTCACTGGTAATTCAGGAGTAGAGAGGAAGGAGGAGGAGGCGCGAGGGAGAGAGAAAGGAGAGGGTGGGAAGAGAAAGCAGAGAGAGAGAGGGAGGGAGAGAGAGGGAGAGGAAGAAGGAGGGGAGAACTGTTAGAGGGCTGCTGTATTGAAATGACATCCACCACTACACTCACGTTCTTACTGTAAGTAGGAGTAGAAAGAAAGGGGGAGGGAGAGAGAAGAAGAGGGAAGGTAGAGAGAGGAGGGAGAGAGAGAGAGAGCTGAGAGAGATAGTGGAGAACTGTTTGAGGGACGTCCAGGATTTTCTCTCTTGTATGAGCTATGACGTGAACGTCTTCTCGACGTCTACTGGAGGAGTGCATACCATATCCACACGTTTAAGTCTGACGAAATAGCTGTTAATCAGTAAGAATGTCAGTCAATCAACTTCTGATTCAGCACATCGCCTTTCCAGGATTTCTTCTCTCAGACAAGCCTGATGTGTACGTCACTGGAGAAGTCTACTGGAGAGAGCTGCAACTTGATCCCCACTTAAGCGTCTAGACGAATATCAGCTTGTTTAATCATTAGATGTCAGTCACATCACTGCTGATTGCTATGCACATCGACTTTCAGGATTTCTTCTCTCATACAGCCTGAGTGTACGTCCACTGAGTCTACTGGAGAGAGGTGCATCCCGTATCCACACGTTTAACGTCTGAACGAATTAGCAGTTTAACCCGCAGACCGCGTCCATCACATCCTCACGATTGATTTGTACGTGCCTTTCTTCGGTGCGGACTGCGTGCGCTTGTGTTTTCGAAGCGCGCTCGAGGATACGAACCTGGAAGAGGGCAGAATGCTCACAACGCGTATTAGGTTATTCGCAACTTGTGTGCGAGAGAAAGTGCACCTTTTGAGGTCGCTGGCAGCTCCTACACCGTATTCGCAATATGCGCACGTTAGCTTATCCCGTTGTGCGTGCGCGCGTGCTTTGGAGAATGCCGCAAGCTGAGAACACCTGTACTCGCAACACCGCACGCGGTACGGTTCTCGTTCTCCCGTGTGCGTGCGCGCTGCCTCTTCAGAGTGTTCACGGAAAGCCACGTCCTGTAACTCGCACACAGTCATCACGCGTACGGTTTCTCTCCCGATGTGCGTGGCTGCGCGTCCTCTTCAGGCTGTCGCGTCGAACGTCCTGTACTCGCACACGTCACACGCGTACGGTTTCTGGCGCCGTGTGCTGGCGAAAGTGTTTCTTGAGAGTTAGCCGGAGGTGTGCTGTTTGCTAAACCAACATATGTCGCACGCGAACGGTTTTCTCTCCCGTGGCCCTGTCTAGCGCGTGGATCTGGAGACTCGCAGCTGCAGAACACCTGTACTCGCAGTACATTGCACGCGTACGGTTTCTTCGCCGTGTGGCGTGCGCTGTGACAACTGCAGGCTGTCGACGGGAGCAGCGTCCTGTACTTGCACACGTCACACGCGGTACGCGTTTCTGGCCCGTGTGCGTGAGAAAGTGCTTCTTGAGGTTGCTGGAGGTGCTGCCAGATGTAACCGCATATATCCCACGCAGTACGGTTAATTCTCTCCCAGTGTTGCGCGCGCGTGATCTGGAAGATTCGCCAGCTGAGAACACCTGTACTCGCTCAATACATCGCTCGCGTTTACAGGTTTCTCTCCCGTTGACTGCTGCGCCGCGTGCCTCTTCAGGCTGTCACGGGAGCCACGTCTGTCTCGCACACGTCACACGGTACGATTTCTGCCGACGTGTGCGTGAAAAGTGCTTACTTGAGGTTGCCTGGAGCAGGGTTGTAGGCGGAGCCGCATATATCGCACGCGTACGTAGTTCTCTCCGCTGTGCGTGCGCGCGCTGGCTCTGGAGACTCGCGCTGGCTGCGACAACATCCCTGTACTCACATACATCGCACGCATATACGGTTTTCTCCCGGTGCGGCGCGCGCGTGCATCTTCAGGCTGTCACGTTGCACGTCCTGTACTGCGCACACGTCACACTCCATACGGTTTCTGGCCCGTGTGCGTGAAGAAAGTGCCGTCTTTGAGAGGTTGCGGGTGTGGTGGCAGGTGAAACCGCATATATCGCACGCGTATGGTTTCTCTCCCGTGTTGCCGTGCGCACGTGCTCCTTCACACCGTACTGCTGCGAAGCATCGGTGAACCCGCACGTGCTTACACGCGTACCGTTTCACGAGGAAGCAGAAGAAGCAGGAGGCAGAGCGAGAAGGTATCCAATCGCGCGCGCGGTGACGAGATTCACGATTCTTCCCGGATAGCAGGTTCCTTCTCTCACTTTCTTCCCGATATCAGGTTCCTCTTTCACTTTTCCTCCCCGATGCAAGTTCCTTTCCTTGGTCATTCTGCTTCCTACGGACAGAAAATAAAGACCCCGATACTTCCCCTGCCTCACAAAGAGATGAAGTCAGATTCAGTTTGCTACGGCATAACCTCAACCTAACCCCCGCCCACTTCGTTCTCAACAGATCTACACGAATTAATCACATTTTCTTATTATGCTTGGAAAAAAACAATTAAAACAAGTGGAAATCTGTGGTATCCGCGGAAATTCTCATGTATGTAATACGGCAATTTGTTGTTGCAAGAGAGGCATCCGTCGATCGATTATAATCGAAAGTCACTTCGTTGGCAGCAACCGATAAGCGCTCGACTATGCACAATTAATAATCATTATCAAAAAGTGTTATTTTTTCAAATTGAATAAAATTGCAAAATTCATGAAATGACACGTTATTTCATTTTGTGTATTTTATTTTGGCTTACTCTTAAGCTTCGAGACAAGTAAATCTAAGCTACACCAAACATAAGCATGTACAATACTGTTTACAATTAGGTTTTAGATATTGTTAAGCCTATTATAAAAATACTGCTAAATATAGTGAATACAGTCGACCTCGCCATAAGTCGAATCCAACAGCGCTGAGAAAAAGCTTTCGATTATGCAGATTTCCACTTCCGTGGAAGTCAAATTTTTTTCGACTTAAGGTAACTGCATGTTTCTATTGCGCATTTTGTGCGTGCGTTGTTACATGTATTGCTGTTGATATGATGTTTTCAATTACACTTCGACGCTAGGTGTTGCCTTTATCGGAAACAAGTTCGTGTTCATGTGTGTGTGTTTGATAATGAAAGTCCCATGAGAATTAACACTGACGTGTAATGAATAGACGTATAAAGAAACACACGTAAATGTACATCAGTAAAATGAGCGTACTTTCTCGTTGTGGCTGCTAACCTTTTAGGATGCTTTTTTTCTACTAAAAAACGTTGTACATTTCAATGGCCATGTGTTTGACGGTCCTCGTAAAAAAAACAATGAGCCTCCGACTTCGACTTGTGGCGATGGAATTAATGGAGGTTTGAAACCATTGGGACGATAAATTCTTCTTCGATATAGCCGAAATTCGGACTTGTGAACTTTCCTGGCTTCGTCGAAGATTTATTCAAGTAAAAAACAAAAGAAAGATCGAGAACATTTGTGGAGCCTTGCGACTTAGGCTGATTTTTTCGACTTGTGCAATGTTCAACTTAGGTCACTTTGGCATTTGTGATGAGTCGAAAAAGTATCCATCTATACTATAATTTGGCTAATCTTGGGTGTGTGTGTGTGTGTGTGTGTGTGTTTGTTTGTGTTCGCTTTCGCCCTGATTTGTCACTCAATCGCGCTAACTGAAGATATATTCAGATCAAACCACCGTCTGGGAGATGGTTTCTGGCTGAGAAAAAATTAAAAAGTTTAAGTATTAAGTATTAAGTCAAAAAATTCGAAAAAAATGCTATGTCCTAATAGATGCAGTGCGTACAGCAGATCCACATCACATACGTGGGAATTACACTGCGTCTCTGACTGCCGCCGTAATGAGCATATTCAGAGAATCATCACGTCTGGAGATGGTCTGGCTCAAACAAAAATCTGTTCCTCAATAGAATGGTGCTACGTCTCCAGATCCCCCCGCCCCCTACTGCAGATTCCCCCTCTCACTCTGCTTTGACGTACACCCGTACTGACACAGTATGTCATGTCCAGTAGGCTTGCCAGTGTTCTTGTTGTAACCCAGTGCAGTGGTTTTCTTTTCAGTTACATGAAATATTTTAACTTTATCTGTCACTTACATGGAGTTTATATTTAAGACAACATTTCTGGTTCTACGGTATACTTTCTGCCTTAGTAATATATAAGTTGTTCAGCCGAATTGTGTGTTCGCGCATTACATAGAGAACTCTGCAGGCTAGAAGAAAACATAAAGAATATTTCTCAGAATCAGCACGTCTGGAGGTTGGTTCTGGCTGAAACAAAAAGTTTAAAAAAGCTTAAAGTGGAACATTCATAAAAAATTCTATTGATCAATAGAGATGGCGGTTCAACGTACGTAACCACAAAATCACGTCTGAATCCAGGTGTTAAACGTGGATGGCGCAGTGGGCTCATCAGGTAAACATCCGCTCGCTAACACTGAATCTGGCGTTCGAGTCCCAGCTGGATGAACTTATTTTCCCTTTTTTTTCCTTTTTTCCTTTTACCTACCTCTTTAGTATGTATTATTTAACATTTTTTAATTGCATTTTTAATTTAATAAATTTATTATTTTTTACTTAGTTTATTTATTATTTTTATTTTTATTTTTAATGTTTTTTATCTGTTTGATTTCTTTGATTATTATTTTTGTTTGCGATGGGATTCGGGATGGAATTGGGATGGCATGGGAGGCATGCTGATGGCAATGGGATTGATTGGATGATGAGATGGATGGGATGGTGGATGGGATGGGATATGGATGTGCGATGCGGTGCGATGGAGAATGGATGTAACGGGAATGGATAAGATGGATGGATGCATGGATAGCATAGATAGTTAATTTCCTTTTTTTCCTTAACCTACCTCTTAGTATGTATATTTTAATTTATTTTTAATTTATTATTTATTGATTTAGGAACTTGCATCGGGGAGGAAAGTGAAAGAGGAACCTGTATCGGGGAAGAAAGTGAGAGAGGAACCTGTATCGGGAAGAAATCGTGATCTCGATCACCGCCTGCTCGATGGAACCTTCTCCTCTGCCTCCTGCTTCTTCTTCTTCTCTGAAACCGTACGTGTGTGACACGTGCGGGTACCGATGCTTCCAGAGTCACGGGTTGAAGGAGCACGTGCGCACGCACACGGGAGAGAAACCGTACGCGTGCGATATATGCGGTTTCACCTGCACCACAGGCAACCTCAAGACGCACTTTCTCACGCACACGGGCCAGAAACCGTATGAGTGTGACGTGTGCGAGTACAGGACGTGCAACCGTGACAGCCTGAAGATGCACGCGCACACGCACACGGGAGAGAAACCGTATGCGTGCGATGTATGTGAGTACAGGAGTTCGCAGCCGGCGAGTCTCCAGAGCCACGCGCGCACGCACACGGGAGAGAAACCGTACGCGTGCGATGTATGTGAGTACAGGAGTTCTCAGCTGACGAATCTCCAGAGCCACGCGCGCACGCACACGGGAGAGAAACCGTACGCGTGCGACATATGCGGCTCCGCCTACACCTGCTCCAGCAGCCTCAAGAAGCACTTTCTCACGCACACGGGCGAGAAACCGTATGAGTGTGACGTGTGCGAGTACAGGACGTGCAACCGTGACAGCCTGAAGAGGCACGCGCGCACGCACACGGGAGAGAAACCGTATGCGTGCGATGTATGTGAGTACAGGAGTTCGCAGCCGGCGAGTCTCCAGAGCCACGCGCGCACGCACACGGGAGAGAAACCTTACGCGTGCCACATATGCGGCTCCGCCTACACCTGCTCCAGCAACCTCAAGAAGCACTTTCTCACGCACACGGGCCAGAAACCGTACGCGTGTGACGTGTGCGAGTACAGGACGTGCTCCCGTGACAGCCTGAAGAGGCACGCGCGCACGCACACGGGAGAGAAACCGTACGCGTGCGATATATGCGGGTACACCTGCACCACCTCCGGCAGCCTCAAGAAGCACTTTCTCACGCACACGGGCCAGAAACCGTACGCGTGTGACGTGTGCGAGTACAGGACGTGCTCCCGTGACAACCTGAAGAGCCACGCGCGCACGCACACGGGAGAGAAACCGTACGCGTGCGATGTATGCGAGTACAGGAGTTCTCAGCTGACGAATCTCCAGAACCACGCGCACACGCACACGGGAGAGAAACCGTACGCATGCGATGTATGCGAGTACAGGAGTTCTCAGCTGAAGAATCTCCAGAACCACGCGCACACGCACACGGGAGAGAAACCGTACGCATGCGATGTATGCGAGTACAGGAGTTCTCAGCTGAA